CAATTTTCAAATTATACTGCTTTAATTTTGAGTATTTTTATACTAAGTTTGCAAATCATTTTTGTTTATATTACTAGAAAGTTTTGCTTTTCTGACTTAGAATAAGATTTTTAATGTATTTTCCCCTTAGATTTAGACGGTACATAGGTTATATCTAGATCAGCCTATAGCTTAGATTACCTGTATCTGTATCATTGTATCTTAGTTTTTCCCCATCAGGCTCCATCCACATTTTCTTTCTCCTCTTCTGCAGTCAATTGCAGGAATACCATTTTTCCTTCTGTAATGCTTTTCATACCTGCTTTTACCTTTGTTCAGTCTCATATTATCTCTAGAGCTGGACTAATTATCTAGTACTCTACCTCTGAGCCACAATCCCAACCCCATCAGTGTTAGTTTTTATATTTTTCCTTCATTGATAACTTTCATAAGATGGTAAAAACACAGACTCTTTCCTTGTTCTAAGTCAATCTTAAATGCAGTCCCAGTTTTGTCAATTTTTCCCCCAAATCTTCAGTGGATCACTATATTCACTGAATTAAAACTAAATTTGAATATTTTAGCCTAGAATGTGCAATATTTCTTCAGAATGCCTCCTACCATGGCTAACAGTTGAACTAACTAGCTACTGTTCATCAAGCAAGTCCTATACACTCTTATGTCCGTTCTTTGTTTTTTTTTGCCATTCTCACCTTGTTATGCCTGATATTATCCGACAGTTCTTCTCTTATCATAGTCCTAGTTATTCTTCAAATTATGCCCACAACCCTTTTATTTAATTAACTTCTTTTGGAAATTAAAATTTTCTTTCGGGCATTTTGTTACATAGGTGTATTTCATACCCCAAATCTTTACACTGTAATCTTAATGCTGGACTAATTATTTTCATGTTCTATGCAGAATATCCTGTGTAAACTGCTGTGCCTAGAACAATGCTGGGCACATAGTAAGTGTAGAATACTTGTTGAATAAAGGAATCTCAATATTACCGTTATTAGATTTTGTCTGAAAAGGAAAGAAAATGGGTGAAAGGCGCAGTTATTGAGAAGTATTTTTCGCAATGGTGGCTTAAGTTACTTGGCAGCCTTTGTAACTAGATTGCTGATATATATATATATATATATCTGTATAAAAACAAAAAAGTCAGAAGACCTTGGACTTTTTCCCTAGTACTACCACAAACTAGTGTATGTCATTCTGGATAAGTACTCCTCTGGGTTCCTGTGTGCTTAGACATAAAATAACAGGACTGGATTAGAAACTGCTGTTGATTATACTCTAGTTCTCAAACATGTCTCAGAAAGGACCAGCTCAGTAGTAACCTTATTACTAATGAGGTTGTGTTGAGATGTTGAACTTAATAGAGGCCTTAATTTAAAAATAAATCTTTACTTGTTCAAGGCCCAGAATTTTTTATTAAGTAAATTACAGAGCTAAGACAGAACTTAACATTGGCCCATATAGTTCATTATAGGACATTTAACAACTATGTTGGAATTCTTGTCTTATATATGTCTTTACAGGCATGTACCCAAAGTAGATTATCTTTGGTATAGCTGCTAAACTGTTTGGGAGGAGGATGAGACACTAAAATCTCACTCTGATATTCCCTTGTCATACAGTTTTTATTTTAATTTTAATGATAGCATTTTTTTTTCTTCATGGTTCTGGGGATTAAACCCAAGGCCTTATGCATGGGAGGCAAGCACTCTACCAACTGAGCTATATTCCCAGCCCAACAAATGTTATTTTTAAAAAGCTTTTTAGTTGTAGATGGATGCAGTACCTTTCTGTGATTTATTTATTTTTATGTGGTGCTGAGGATTGAACCCAGTGTTTCATGTGTGCTATGTAAGTACTCTTCTACTGAGCCACAACCCCAGCCCCATCAATGTAAGATTTTAATTTTCCTTTATTAATAGCTTTCATATGATGGTAAAAGCATAGACTTGGGTGCGAGGCAGCATAGTTTGAATGCTCCCCATCACTTGAGGTATGATCTTAGGCAAGTTAATTCATCTCTTTGTGCTTATTTTCCCCGATTATTAAGTGTGCATAACATTAAAACCTATCAGTGTTGTTTTGGTGATTAAATGAGTTTATACTCATAAAACATGAATAGTACACACCACATAATAAGAGTCTTATAAGATTTTGGCAACTTATTATTATTACTACTTGAATGTTTATAACAAATAAGGGAGAGTCCTTGGAGTGTAGAGAAATTGGGGTATTGTCTTTAAAAGGCTATTAAAAATTTTCATGGCCAAAGTGAAGGAAACAGATTATGTGTGTGTTTGTATGTATTTTCTGCATTAGTAATAAAGTTCAAAAATATTCAGAACTAAGTTGTAGGTTTAGAGACATATGAATCTGGTAAAAACCAAACAAAAAACATATAATGTAAAGCGATGAAATAATTACTATAAAAGCCAGTGTAACTGGGCGTGGTGGCACATACTCTTAACCTGTCTTCCACCTCAGCAGGGGAATTACAGGTTCCAGCCCAGCCTTAGCAACTTAGTGAGACCATGTCTCAAAAATAAAAAGGGCTGTGATATTGTCCAAATTATATTGTTATATTGTATATTGTGTATATGTAACAAATCCCATCAGTGTTTTCAACTGTAATGTACCGATAAATAAATGTGGGGGTAAAAAAAGGGGCTGGGAATGTAGTTCAGTCCCCAGTAAGTCCCCAGTAAAGTTGGTGTGGTTACCTTTAATTGGGTGGGAGGGAGTTGTGATTAAGAAGGGCTGGGGAGGACCTTAGGGCTGTTGTGATCTGGAAAGTGGTATTAGTATATTATAATGTTTGTACAAAACGTTATTTTAATATTAACATAGAATTTCTCATTTTCATATTTTATAGTCTTAAAAACTTTCCTTTTTTAAAAAAACATTTTTTATTAGTTGTTGTTGGACCTTTATTTATTTATTTATGATACTGACAATCAAACCCAGTGCCTCATACATACTAGGCAAGCTGTCTACCACTGAGCCACAACTGCAACCCCCACAAACTTTCTTTTATGGGAAATTATTTTAGGGCATGATTTTTAATTACATGAAGTTTGATTTTTATGGAACTTGGTTGGTTGCAGATGTATCTTTTCCCCTCTTTGCTTCCTGCATATTTTTGGTAGGATTTAGACTTGTGGATTAGTTCTTAGAAAATATTTTTTAAATGGTAAAGTCGAAATAAGGACATATGTAAAATTTTGAGAAACATAATTATTAGGGTATCACAAATTTAATGGCTTTTAGATTCATTCCATATGTTTAATGTTACAACATAAACAGAACTTGAGATTATTTCTCTTCTGTGCTTTTTAGAGTAGTTTGCATGTTAGATTTGGGCACTGAGGGTAAGTCAGTAGAAAATAGTAGAAACCATGGTGTTTTTTAAAGTAATGGCATTATCAGTTGTATTCCAAAACCCAGTGACCTGTGGCAGAGGTCTTTCTTAACACTCTTTTGTTTGATATCACACTCTTCCTTCAATACAGCTTTACTGCTGATTTAAGTCTAGTAGACCACACTCAATGTAGTCACTTAAATAAGTGTAAATTTGTCCATTAAATAATATCAGTGACAGGGTTTATGTAGTATTGAACAGTTTTCTTGTTTTAAGATACTAAGTTTTCTCCTATTTCCTTACTAATAAAAACTTAAGGGGCTGGAGTTGTAGGTCAGTGGTAGAGCACTTGCCTGTCGCATGTGAGGCACTGGGTTCAAGTCTCAGCAGCACATAAAAATAAAGGAATTGTGGGCTGGGATTGTGGCTCAGAGGTAGAGCTCTAGCCTAGCACTGGCGGGACCCGGGTTCGATCCTCAGCACCACATAAAAATAAAAGCATTGTGTTGTGTCCATCTACACCTAAAAAATAAATATTTTAAAAAAAAATAAAGGTATTGTGTTCACCTACAACTAAAAAAATATATATTTTTAAAAAATTCAAAGGAATGGTGATCGAAAGCATATTAACTGGTATTTTGTCTCAAGTTATGAAAACGACTTAAAATTAAGCTTTTAGTATTCAATACTCCTAACAGTAAATTAAACTTTGGAATTAGTCAAGTCTCTGAGAACTGGAATAAGTGCAATGACAATGAGATCCTTCAAATCAAAGAATTTATTTTTATCAATAAAGGAGGTTCTCATATTTGCACATAAAAGTGCCTCATTTAAAGTTGAGTTGGAAGAAAGGTACCTACATTTTAAGTTTCTTGTGTTCTTTAATGGAAAATTTGGAGATTGGAGGTATATGTTTTAGCTAATATTCTCTGTTGTAATGTCCTTTCCCTTATCTGATGTATTGATGGAAATTAAACAAGTTACTTCCTTAGACTAAGGAAATACAGGTGAAAGCTGTATAGTCAGTATCAGGATGAGATGGCATGGCATGGCTGTGTTAAGTAATCACAGAAGCTGGCATTTTTGAGTACTTACTCATATACCAGGCAGTGTTTCAGGTACTTTTTTAAGTATTCATTCAATGATATTCACATAATTAAGTAGACATTATTGAGAAGGTTAATTTATTAACTTGTGCAGGTAGTAAAACTGGGATCTATCTCAAATCTTAATTTTTTTCATATAATTTATTTCAGCACTTGAAATATATTCTTGTGAAAGTGTGTGAGGTTGCTGGAATATGACTGGTTTATAATAGAGTTTAGTTTTTTTAAAGTTATTTTTTAGTTATAGGTGGAAACAATATTTTCTTTTATAAAATAAAATGGATTTGGGCACTGAGGGTAAGTCAATAGATCGAACCCACTGCTTCATGCACGCTAGGTGAGTGCTCTACCTCTGAGCCAAAGCCCAACCCCTAATAGAGTTTAGCTGTAATCCCTACTAGGTCCCCCCACCCCACTCCCACCCCAATGTTGGGGATTGAACCAGGGCATTCCCTTGCTCATGCTAGACAAGTGCTGTACACTGAGCTACAGCCCTAGCCTTTTTTATTTTGTATTTTGAGATAGGGTCTTGCTAAGTTGGCTGAAGCTGACTTTGAATTTGAGATTCTCCTGCCTCAGCCTCCCTAGCTGCTGGGATTATAGGAGTATGCCTTCATGCCTGGCTTGCTAATGACATTTGTAAACTGAGATGTGCTATAAGTGGGTTATAAGGACTTTAGGACCTTCTGAAGTTTTATGCAAAATTGTGTTGTATGTGGTTATATATATGAATTTTTTTGGTCAGAGTTTGTAACTGCTGTCAAGGTAAATATCATTTAGTCCAGTAGTTCTCTGTGTGTTGTCCAGCAACCCTTAAATTCATTCAAAAGATCTTCAAAGACAAAACTATTTTCATAATGATACTAAGATGATATTTGCCTTTTTTACTGTGCTGACATTTGGAGCAATGGTGAAAAAGCCATGTGGGTAAACTCAAAGACATGTTCCGATTAATCAGGTAGTGGCTCCAGACAGTACATGTTCCGATTAATCAGGTAGTGGCTCCAGACAGTGCCAGTAGTCATGATCATTATTGCCATATACTAGCAGTTAAAAAACATTGATTTTTACTTAAGAATGTCTTTAGTGAAGCAGTAAAAGCTGTTAATTCTCAACTTGGGCATGTCTGTTGTGACAATGGAAAGCATACCTCGAGTGATGGAGCAGTGTATAGTGAGTGATTGTCTGGAGGAGGGGTGTCAATGTAGCTGTTTTGAGTTTTGAAATGAACTAACAGCTCTTTCCATGGAACTGTGTTTTGGGGGGCTTTCAAATCTGGTTATTCTGACCTGGAGATTTGTTTAGCATTTATTTTCTCAAATGAACAGATGACCTGTTGCTTTACTGATCATTGTTTATTGTCACTATAAAATTTGAACTTTCAGGCAACAGTTTTGGAAAATATGTATCTGTCTTGGGGATATTGAGGGCTTCCTAGTACTTCCGATTAAATCGGTAGTAATATTAATAAATACAGTTTTAGATACTGTGTAATAAAATGTGTCAACATTTGGAAAACCTGCATTACTCAGCGAATCAGTGTTTTTACAGTTGACCCGTGCATGTGATGTTATCAAATCATTCATTTTAACAAATACAAGAAAGATTGTTGGATTTTAATGTTACAGACCATTGTGTCATGCTTTGAGATTCCCCAGATGTTTAAGAAATCATTGTCAAGCTGAGTATAGTGTTAAAGGGATATCCATAACTACCTGAAAAATCTATTAAAAATTCCTACTTTCCCAACTACATACCTGAGTGAAGCTGGATTTTCTTCTTACATATAACTGACAAAACACCTTGTCAAATATTGAATACAAAAGCACTTAGGAGAGTCCTCTTTTGTTAAGCCAGATGTAGGAGATTGCAACAATGTAAAGCATTCTAGTTTGGGGGGGTATTTGGACAGTGATATAGTTACTTTTCTTAACATTTTTATATTGTGTAGAGAATATTACTATTTTGTAGTGAATAAACATTTTAAAATTTGAAAAGTCCTTTCATGTGCTCATATTTTTAAGAGTATAAGGGAGATCCTGCCATCAACAAAATTTGATAACTCTCAGTTTGATCTGTTAATAAATAGATTGCTTTTTAAGGAGTCTCATGAGCCACAAGATAAGTGCAGGATAGTGTACTACCACTTTCATGTGTGAATATCTACAAAGCTTTACTTCTATAAAGGTGGAGCCTGTGACAAGAGATTATTTCAGCTTTCTCCCTTACTGTTTTTTAGATACCAAATTAGATCTACCCTAAGCTCTTTTGTCTGATCTTGGTGAGGAAGGATACCTTCAGGACTTTAAAGTACCTATTTTTAAACTTACCTCTCCGTTACAGAGATTAAATGCCAATAACATATTTGCCAACACTTTAGCATTAAAAATTTTTAGGATTTTTTCCCACAGTATTTCTGCTCAGGTAACAGCATTAAGTAATGCTGTTGGATCCTGATTTAATGCCATTTCTAGGCTTTCTGGTTATTGTAAGTAAATTGATGACCTTGACATTAGGTGGTATTTTGAGCCCAGCATGTAGCCATTTGATGTGTTGTCTTGGAAGAAAGGCATAAAATTGGCATGGTAACTGTTTCCCAGCTCTGATAATCAAACTAATAAAAGGACTTTATTTACTTTTCCTCTGTAAATCCTGTTAAAGTACAGCAAACTTCTATTTTTATATAATTGCTGAATTTCCCATTTTAACATTGTCCTATCAACTGTTGCTTAAAATTTTACTTTTTTTGTGGCTATTTTCTACCCTTTTTAAAATTTCATCTAAAGCTTCACTCTTGGCATATGTGGAATCCTTGGCAAATCATTTTCAAGTATTCTATATGCCAAGTTACCAATGGTTATATTCTTGTGACCAGTTTCTGTTGATTAAATTCTCTGTGAACGTTCAATTATCAATTGGGTTTTTCTCTTCTGAAGTCTAAAAGAGCTCATGAACAATTCAGACTGTTTATGACCAATGACCTTGTTCAGGAAACTTTGCTTTAACCTGTTGTTTTGTTGTGTTTATGTGCTCACTGAAACTCTTCTATTAGACTCTGAATTTTGAAGAATCAGGATACTTTTTATGGTTATGATAGGTTTTATGGGACTAAGAGGGAATTCTTTCTTAAGAAACCTTGTAGTACTGTTCCTAATTAGAGGGATGAATCTTCTCTAAGAAATTGGACTTGACAGATTTAGTGTCTCTCCATTTCTCTTCTCTAAATTAGAAACTGTTCTCTTTCATTGGTCAAAATGTTAGAATGATATATTGGATTTTGGACCATTTGCACATTTTATACTTCATTCAGAGAAAACTAAACTCGTCAGTGGCCTGTATTAAAAGAAGCTAGGGCTGAGGATGTAGCTCCATAGGAGAATACTTGTCTAGTATGCCCAAGGCCCTGTTTTCTATCCCCAGCACCACACACACACATACACACATACACACACACACACACACACAAAAAAAAAAAAAGACAAGCAGATACAGTTACTAGAGTAGATAACAGGGATTGGTGGTAAAATTTTCGAAGATTTGGGACAACGTTAGAGCTGAACAATATTAACTTTTTAGAACCTGCCATTTAAATTCACTGCAGATCTGCTCTTCCTGAAAGTAGAATCCTTTTTGTGTTATCTTTATTTTTTCCAGCTTACTACAGGTAAGCTGCCTAGAGTAGATGAATTTATAAGGTAGCACAGAGGAATCTTGTATTTCTTATTGACTAATAAGAATGGGAAAGCTGTTTCAAGAGAAACAGGCTATTGTAGGCCACAAATCTTGTCAAATTCGCTATCTAGTGAAGTGATGCAGCATGCATGCAAAAGTGCTTAGTACAGGAATTGATAGTAAAGAGATTGCCTGCTCCCATTCTTTTTTTTCCCCCTTGACATAAGAGGAATTATTTTTTCTAGAAGTAGAATCACTTCTTTAAGTACAATAGTTTTTGCTTCCTGGTGTCTTTATTTTTTTATTATAAAAATATAAAGTTCATCATCCTAACTATCTTTAAAGGTATAGCTCAGTGTTAAACTTTGTTTAGACTGTTATGAAATATAATCTCCAAAACTTTTTCATTTTGCAAAACTGAAACTTAAGCCATCTCTCCCTTTTCCTCCAACTCCTGGTTGTCTCTTGCCTGCACAGTAATGAAATCACCTAATGACACATTTCTCAGAACATGTCTCCATTGTCATACAGTGACTTTATGTTTGGGGTTCTAAGGAGGAACAGGTAGGTACGTCCTTTAAATGATTGGGGGAGGACAGGAAGATTTCTAGGCAGAACATCAAAGAAGCAGATATGAGAATATTTGAGTAGATATTGGTACTGTTGACACAAATCTGTTATCTCAGACTGTTTGAAAACTATCACCAGTTTATCTTATAGGCTATTCCAGTATAGGATTAGATAAAATTCAAATTTTTGACTAAAGTTTTACTTCATTTATTTTGTAGTTTCTGGTTAAAAATAAGAAAATCCCATGGGTTTTATAAGTCACATTCCATGACTGTAAAATTTCTTTCTTTTTTTTTTTTTTTAAGAGAGAGAGTTTTTAATATTTATTTTTTAGTTTTTGGCAGACACAACATCTTTGTTGGTATGTGGTGCTGAGGATCGAATCCGGGCCGCACGCATGCCAGGCGAGTGCGCTACCGCTTGAACCACATCCCCAGCCCCTGTAAAATTTCTTATATTAAAAGGGACAACCAGTGCATTGTTTCATGTATGTTTTACTCAGCAAAGTCATCAGGATAATAGGAAAATTTGACACATACTTTGCATTTTTTTAAAATGAAATTATTGATAAGGAGTGATTAAAGATGTATTTCTTATAGCCTTTGGGGTTTTTTCCCTTCACATTTTTTAGTGGTGCATAATATCCTTACATAATGATGGAATTTGTTGTTATATATTCATACATGCACATAGTATTTACAATAGCCTTTTGAAGTAAGCAGTGCTGTTGCCATGTTATGTTAGACACTAAAGCTCAGAGAACTTGGGCAACTGTTAAACCTAAGGTTATGAGTTAGTAAAATTGATCCCTGTGCTTTTTATGCTTCTGTGTTTCTATGTTGTATTCAGTTTTTAGAAATACTATTTGGTTTTGTCTGTTTCTGGTTTTCCTGAGGAGGAGGTAGAGCTAAGGTGAAACTTCAGTTTATTCACTAAGTGACTTGAAAAAAAGTATATGTTGAATTTTCAGTGCTCTGGAGAATGTTAAGAAAATACAAAACATTGTAGGCATATTAAAAGAATGAATTTTATTGAAAATGAGCATTTTCCACAACACTTTTGCTTTTGGCATTAACCTGTCCATGCTACTATAAGATTCTTTTATAGGTTAGTGTGCTACTTGATATTGAAATGAGACTTTAGTACAAATACTTAGTTATTTCTTGGGGTTAGATGAATGAATCATTATTTCAAGTCAAGGTAGTGCTTTCAAATGGTTATGAGTTGGAATTTATTAATATTATTGGAATATAACTGGAAATTTCTCCAGGTGAAAATTTATTATAATCTACAAATCTTGACCTCCCCCACCCCCTTTGGTGCTGGAGATTGAACTGGGACCTTGTACAAACTACGGAAGCACTGTACCCCTGAGCTATATCCCCAGCCTTAACCCCCTTTTTTTTTTTTTTTGTACCGGGATTGAACTCAGGGGTACTGAGCCACATCCCCATTCCTATTTTTGTATTTTATTTAGAGACAGGGTCTCACTGGATTGTTTAGCACCTCATCATTGCTAAGGGTGGCTTTGAACTCGAAATTCTTCTATGGCTCAGCTTCCCCAGCCTCTGGGATTATAGGCACATACCATCGCGCCTGGCCATTTTTAACAGTTTAGCAGTTCCTTAAAAGTTAAACATAGTTTTATTATCACATGACCCAGCAATTGTACACCTAGGTGTGTATATTAAAAAATTGAAAATACTAGTACATGAATGTTTATAAACAGCCTTGCTGGTAATAGCCCAGAAGTGGAAACAATTCCAATGCTTTAACAACTGTTTCATCAGAAAAGAAAATAGTGTATTTATACAATGCAGTATTATTCAGACAGAAAATAGTAATATGTGTTACAACATAGTTGAGCTTTGGAAATACTGTTCTAAGTGAGGAAGCCAGTCACGTAAGGCCATGACACATATTGTATGATTTCATTTATATGAAATGTCCAGAATAAGCGAATCTATTGGGATAAAAGGTAGATTTGTATTTGCGGGGGGGGGGGGGGCGACGACTAGAGGAAGGGGAAAGGATTAGGAGTAGCAGGAACAATTGCCCGTAGATAGAGGATTTTTTTCCAAGGGGTAATGGAAACCACGTTCTGGAATTAAATGGTGGTGATAGTTGCATAATTCTGTGATTATACCAAAACCTGCTGAATTGGGTACTGATTCTGAAAAAAAAAATAACTGTTAAAAACTAATCGGGAGGATAGATGAGGTAGGAATCTCTGAAAAGAAATAAAAGTTTCTTTTTATTCTCTTTTTTTAAAATAAATTTTAAAAATTTGTTGATAGACCTTTATTTATTTTATTTATATATAGTCCTGAGAATTGAAACCAGCGCCTCACAAATGGCAGGCAAGTGTGCTACCGCTGAGCCTCAGCCCTAGGCCCTGGCCTGATTTTCTGAAAAATGAATTTCTCTAGCCAATTGAAAAAATTCTGCATTTACTAAAGAAAAAAAATATTAAACTTTGCATTATTTCTGTGTCACACACAGTCTACTTGCGCATCTGGTTTTTCCTGACTTTATTAATCAAATCTAGTTTGTACATCTTTTTTTTCTTTATTGACAAAGCAATTGTTAGCAAATATTTTATATTTTGTTAACTTTTTTTTTAATCTAATAGATACCCATAATGGTAAATCCAGATAATGGTAAATCCCGTAATGGTAAATAGTACCAGAGGTTAACAGGGCATCTTCATCAGTTTAAGATTTGAAGAAGGAAAATGTATTCAGAAATCCATGAATTATGACGCAAGGTCTCTAGACCCTGATTTAAAAGGATCTGGAAATGAGTTGCCCAAGAAATTAGTAGTGTTTTTGTTTTTGTTTTGTTTTGTTTTAATTAACTTGGTTGTGATTTCTGTGTGAGAAAAAAGTGAGTTGCTTTGAAGGTTGTACACATTTGGATTGTGCATCTAGATACAATAATAAATGGACCGTAAATAAAGCTAAGTGAAATTTACAATAATGTTTAAGATATTCAAGTCTAAAAACAGTATAGCCAAGGCAGGAGGATTGCAAGTTCAAGGCCAACTTTCACAATTTTGTTGAGATCCTGTCTCAAAACAAAAAGTGATGTATGTAGCTCAAGAATTTATTTGCCTAGTATGCATAAGGTTCCCCAGGTTCACTTCCCAGTACTGCAAAAGAAAATTGGGTTCATTGATGTCTGGTGTATCTTTTTAATTGTTCCGTAAACACATAAGCCCTTGTATTCATGTGTCCACTATCTCTAATTCACAATCTGATTTCTTGGGAATGCTTTAACATTGTTAACTGTAGTGCATATTCCTTGTGTTGATGAGAATACAGTTTCGTTAAATTCTTTTTTTGTATTTTTTTTTTTTTTAGTTTTAGACAGACATAATACCTTTATTTTATTTATTTGTTTTCATGTGGAGCTGAGGATCGAATCTAGTGCCTCATACATGTAAAGCAAACACTCTACCAACTGAGCTACAACTCCAGCCCCTTCATTAAATTCTTGATATGCAGTAATTTGTTAATCTTAAGAATTTTTATTCTCTAGTAGAAAGGTAACTTTCTGATTGAAAGCATAAGATGTTCAAGAAACTGAGCTAACCACCTGTCTCAGTGCAACTGCTTTACATGCATTATCTCATCTAATCATTTCAAATAGTCTCTGAAGACAAACTAGTACTTTCATTTTATAGTATAGGAAATTGAGACTTGGATAAAGTAATTTGCCCAAGGTCATATTGTTAGTGAGTGGAAGAGCCAAAGAACCTTGGTTCTCCTGACTCTATAAGTGAAAAATAAAATCATATAATTTCACCGTTTTTAGATGACATCTGTTAACATATAAGGCTGGATATTTCCATTATAATGTTTTTTTCCTGCTGTGACTGTATATTTCTCAAACATGCATAGTTTATGTATAATTGTTACATATAATTGTTTTCAGTTTAATTTATTTGAGAAGATAAATGGCTATATTATTTAACTGGATGTCTATCTGGTATATGTAATTTAGATTTAAGATTTTTGATGTAAATATTATGATGAATATCCTGTGAGAATCTTATTACTTAAGAATATATTTAAGGGCATGGGATTTGGGTCTATAAGGTGTCATCATCTTTTCATGGTTTATGGTATATATTGCCAAATTGCCTCAAATTGGGGTTGATTTTTCACTTCCTCCAGCAGCAAAGGGGTAGTGTTCATTTCCAGACCTCGACAATA